TGTATTTGATAATGAAGGACTTGAAAACAACTTAACATTGTGCATATTTCTTCCAGGAAAAAAACACACTGAAACAAACAGGCATATTGTTTTAAAAAGATGTATGATAAAAGTTGGAAACTACTGTATGTATGCAATATTTATTAGAATAAACAAATTACTGTTGTCCAATGTAATTTATTTGTAAAATATTTAGAAAATATAATATATTAGTACGTTTAAGAATTAATTTACAACAACAAAATTTTTATAAATAAGATTTCATTACACATTAGTTCAGTCAGTTATATGCTTTTGGCCTAAAAATACTAGAAAACTTGTCTGTTCTATAACATTTGCATATCATCAAAACCAGTGGTTGTCCAGTATAAGTGTTTCTGTCTTAGAAAACTGTGTATAGAATTTATTATTGGTGGTTTTTGTGTATGTATGTCACATGTCTTCATAACATTAGTTATTAAAAAATTAAATTATACTTATTTCTAAAATAATTAAATATTTTAAAATTTTATGCATTGAAATATCTAGAGGGCCATTTTATCCTGGTTCATTTGATTTGTTAACTGGAAACTTTCAGTCTTCCAAATATAATATGCATGTTCTTCATCATTAATTTTCTCCAAAAATGAACCTTGAAGTTGTTGCCTCAAACTTTGAGATGTTTTTTCATTTAGATGCAGATGTGACTAGTATTTTGTAATTTGTAACATTTGTCAGAAAGTACAATACATCCATATATCTGTGAGAAAGAAAGTTTTATTAAACAGAATTGTTCCTCATAGTGTTTATTGTGCACAATGTAATTCAGAAAAAAAGTTTTCAAAACTGACCTAGTATATTTAATCTGTAATTAAACATTACTCACAGATTGCTAGTGTCATCGATGGCTACTTCACTACACTTCAGAAACGCTCAGACAGAGACATGTTTTTTTCCCTTACACAAGGGATTGTACAACTAGTCCAACGCTACAGAAATGGAATTCGTGGAAGGACTAAAGCAGCCGTTCAAGATCTGCTACGGCAGTATCTATCTGTAGAAATGGATTTTCAACAAGGTACACAAGGTTACCTTTAAAAAAGGAAATATTTTTGTTACATCGTTAGTGGATTAATATTGATTTGAGTTGTATGTACGTTTTATATTCTATAAATATTCTTTTTAATTTTTAGGTACATAAAAACTATGGAATTTCTTATACTCTGCTGAGCATTAGATAAGTGATTTATTGTATACTTTTATGGGAAATGTGGTTTTTTAATTGACTGAAGATTTTCAGAAAATAAACCAGTAAAGATTTTGTTTGGAGAGTAATGTTCTGAAATGTAAAGAAAATTTATAAAATTACAATTATTGAAATGATAATTTTGTAATTTCACATTGACTTTTTGCCTGATTAAAGGTTTCTTTGTTATTTATATTTTTTTCAGGCCATTATGATAAATGTGTATCATTGCTCAGGGAAAAACATCGAGATGATATTGGAACTGTTGTCAACAAAATTTTCTCTCATCTGAAAGTTGATAAGAAAAACTTCCTCATCATCAAACTGATAGTAAGTTATTGTTTTAACCCATACTTTGAGTAGGAATACTTTAAAATTTAACCTTGTTATAACCCAATAATAATCTCTACTATGGGTATGTAGCAGTAGAACGTATTTGAAATATGAAACATTTGCTTGTGCTGGACAACAAGGTCTGTATCATAATCAGTTGAATACTGTGAATATTATGAAATAGTATGAAAGTGTGTGTGTGTGTATAACCAAAAACAACATTTTGAAAATGTTTTATGCCAATAACAAATGAAGTAGTTATAAAACAATACTACTACATCAGAACTGTTTTGCGGAGACTAATTTCCTAAACTGCTGATATCTCGGCTCTGATCTTGGTTAAGGTAATCTATTTATATGTAAAGTTGTTGTTTTGTTTTTTACTGTGATTATTCAATTACTCAAAAGTAAATTTTAGATGAACGTTTCTTCATATTTTGTATGTTCTAGAATTTTTGATGTGATAGGTTTCCTGAATGTCTAATACAAAACAGAAAATGTTTTTATTAAACATGTGAAAATTAAATTGATAGTATATATTTAAATATAGGAAACTGATAATAATAGATGTATATTCTGAGGCTACATTTCATTTGTGTTGACATGATTCAGTCAATGTTATAAAACATTCATATTAGGCCTGTTACATTTTTAAGCACTATATTCCTAATCTAGTCCATAAGGAATTTTCAAGAACTAAAAGAGTGTATAATAATAGTATTTTAACCACTCTGTATTTGTCGTATTCATTTCCAGTGATGTGTGTGTCGCTCAATGTAGAGCTCTTCAGGGTGGCTGGGATACAACATGCATAGTGGTGGTTGGAACTCTATTTATCTAAGCAATTTGTTACCACAATAATTATGGTGTGTATACCGGCTTATAGAAGGTGTACACACCATAACAACTGTTGTTGTATGAAATGAGTTAGTTTCTTGTTTAAGTAAATGTATTATGGTGATAGGAAGAAATATTTTAATTTAAATTTATTGTCAGTAAATTGATTAATTTGGCTGTTTATAAATATTTCAGCTAAAATACATATATTAACATTAGAAAGATAAAAACATACTTTAGAATGTATTTCTGTCATCTACTTATAATTTTTTATTTTGAATGTTTCTCAAATAGGATCACCTCTGTGGACATGAACCTGGACTAACTGATGAACTATCTTGTATTCTTCATGAACTGACAACATTGAACAAGTCAGAAAATGCCAAAGTTGCTTTACGGGCAAGACAGGTATATCATATGAAAAAAAAGTATTGTACATAAACAAACAACAGCTATAATAATCTTCCATATTGATGCTATATCTAATTTATTACTGTATTGTTCTGCTACTACCTCGACCACTGTCGATTGGTATGATACAATTGGTACTGCACTGTAAGGATATAGAAGGAAAGCTCCTTGTTACAAGTTATCTCATTTTGGTTGAGAAATCTATTAAAAGAAAAAATCATAAACTAGTAATTATAAATTTCTTGATTTGTTTCATGTCTTGATTTTTTGTTCCAATTAAAAAAATTTAAGCCATCTTATATTAACAATCTTTGTGCCTTTAATTTTATAATAGGATAAATGGCTGAAATTTAATCAATAAAATCAGGTAGATACAGAAAAATTACCTCAAAACTGACCGGAAGCAGTTATTAATGGTCTTTCTTCAACACTATCTTACAGTTGAGCTCTTAAAACCTTGCATTTGTTATAATACACATGAAATGAACTTTGATTATTATATTGGTTTTATACTGTAAAGCTATTTAATATGGGTGATTCATCCCAGTCTTGAGAAAACTTGACAAAGTTTGATCACAGTTTCATCTGATATTCTACTTCATGGAGACTCCATAAGTATGGAAAGAAAATTTAATATATCAAGCACAACTTTATTGAAGTGTTGAGTTATTTACTACATATTTATATTGTTCAGTTTTTTTAATTTCTTAAGATTATATTTTTTATTGCAGTAGTTGCTTAATTAGAATAAATATTTTTCTCTATCCATTTAATTTTTGGTAATCATCATAACTGCTTAATGTTTTGGACATTTTTGTTTATTATCTACCACAAAAATGAACTTTTAATTCACTTTCTTTTTTCTGTGTGTGAGATTTCTGTTTTAGTTTCACTGTCTTCTAATTCTACACATGCACACACACACACACAAACACTAGTTCTTTATTTATCTTTAAACATTCCACACTTATTATCCATTATTTCTTTAATTTATTTTTTTATGTTTTTAGAACTTCTAAGAATTGTGTTCTCTTTGTTATTTCCAAAGCTAGGAGGATTTTGATCAATTTTTAAAGTTAGCATTATGATTAGCTTCCAGTCTCTAAGATTTTAGGTTTTCCTTAATTCTTTAACACTGTAGCAAAATTAAAATTAGATTCTAGATATATCCAAAGATTTATGTTTATTTCTTTTATATGGTTAAAGTTTCATTAATTATTTCTAACCAGAGATGTATCTTTTGTTTAGGTTTTGATAGCAGCACACCAACCAGCTTATGAACAAAGACATAATCAGATGGAATCAATATTTCTATCAGCAGTAGATATGTATGGACATGACTTCTGTCCAGAAAACCTTCAGAAACTAATCATGTCAGAGACGTCAATTTTTGATGTTTTGCATGATTTTTTTTACCACAGTAATGTAGTTGTTCAGAGAGCAGCTCTGGAGGTAGGAGATTTTCCTTCTTTAGTCGTAGTTTATCAGAAAGAAATTAAAGTAATGAAATATAGTGACAGGAATGTGTAAATTATTCTTAAGTTCTTTACTTTATTAAAAGCTTTGGCTAATTTTTATTTTCAAATATAAGCACAAGTCAAAAAGTATTATGTCTGAATGGTAAGGATACAGTTAAATATATGTATCATGTGTAGATGTTTATTTTATGCAATCAGTATACAGTATATGCAACATAGATGTTTGACAAGTGTTTGTGATTTGGTTTAATACACATTACTATTAATTGTAGTACATATATTAAAAGGTACATTATGTTTTAGTGTTTTGATTGCATTACAATGATGTATGGTACATAAAGGTTATAATGTTTCAGGCTGAGTTGTTAGCATAATGGACTGTGAACTTGAAGGTCCATGGTTTGTGTTCCATTGCACTTTGGGGCAGTGAGTGCATTATAAAAGTGATGGTCAAATTAGAGTAACCCAAGAGTTGAAGGTGAGCAGTTGACCAGCTGCCTTCTCTCTAGTCTATCAATTTGAAATTAGAATGGCTAGTGCAGATAATCATTGTGTAGCTTTTCATAAATATTTGACAAAAACAAGTCATCACATTTTATATTCTGTACATAGAGATTCAGCACGTTATAGTGTTCAGATTGCATTACCATGATGTATTGTACATAAAGGTGCAGCATGTTTTAGTGTTCAGGCTACTCTACTATGGTTAACTTAACTGGGAATGTCCTAGTTACATAAGATACTTTATTAATTATTTCTGCTTTTGAATTCAAGCCATAGCTCTCAAATGCATGTCACTACATAAAGCAAGAACACTTATAAAATAGAGATAGCTATATTTTATACAGTAAACCTTATTTCATACAATATTCAATAGTTAGGTTAAATAAAAATTACTTCAACCAACATTATTTATATATTTAGAGTTTCACTGGTCCACACTTCAAGGTATTCTAGGATAATCAAAAATAAAAATATATATTTTTTATTATGAACTTTATTTAATGAATACTTAAAATAATTTTTGTTTGTCTTTTAATTAGTTTGAGTAGAGATCTTAAATATTTCCCTAAAAAAAGTTTTTAACATACTCTCAAAATAATAATAATAATATGTATTCCTGAATTTAAATGTCCAAAAGTATTTATAGAAGATTTTGTATTTAAATCATAAAACTTTTTGGGTTGTAAGTTTTCTGGTAAGTTAGTAGGTCATAGCAGTGTGATATTACCTCACAACAAAATTAATATCAATTTCCATCACATTGTTCTCTGTGTGCTCAGCATAGGCTTCCAATGAGATAGAGCTCATAATATCATTTCAATTGCACTTTCTTTGTTGTATTCTGTTGCTGGTGGGATTTTTTGCTCATTATTGAAGCTTACCAGGTGTTTATGAGTTTTCATGTTTAAAGGAGGATAATGTTCAAAGTAGTGGATGACAAAACCTTGTCGAAATGTTGTACATTTGCTGTTATATTAAACTTATATTGAAGTTTTTCTTCATTACCTATTCAGGCCGTCTCCAAGCATTAAAAGTAGAGGAACATGATACAAATAATGGGCAATGATGATGTACTATTATTATATCATAATTACAATATTACTTCTATTACCATTGAAGTTAAATGTTTATCTGTCATCTTTGGTACTGTTAATTTAAATTTGTGACTTAATCAGGCCCATATTTGTGACATGATTATTAAAAATTGTTAATTTAAAAAGGAGGAATAGGGATCTTAAAAAAAAATACTGAAACAAGATAGGTAGCTTAAAGTGAAAATGCAGTTGCCAAAAACATAAACAAACAAGGTTTGAGACGTAGTGTTGACATTATTTCCTCAAACTACAAATCCCTATTTTGATTCCATGTCTAAAAGCTGTAATATTTAGGAGATTGTATGATGTTCTCTTGGTAAACAAGAACAACCCTTGGATTGGCTTCATGCAGAATGGATTGGCTATTGCTGCTAATATCCTTCCCATAATGTTATCACTGATAGTAATACTGCATGTATGATCACTATGATGCATGATGATCAACATACCACATGTTATGTATATACTTGTAAAATATATATAGCTACTATATTTATACCCTGTAGCTATATGGGGAGTCTGTAAACTCTAGATTGGAGGGACTACTGAACTATATTGGAATGGTGCATGGACTGGATTTTATAACCACATGAGTTGTATACATGCATGTTGGCTAGCATTTATATCTTAATATATACGTACAGGCTTTGTAGTTTTTTGTAAAGTTTTATATATAGGAAGCCATATGAAAATTTCAAGTTGTATAGATGCATGCATATATATATATATATTCAATGCAAATATAAGACAATGTGTCATAATATAAAAGCATATGTGTACAAATAAGCATTTTTAATATTTCTTATAGTTGTTATATTCCCCTTCCTCCTCTCCGCTAGCCAGTAAGGCCAGTCATTGTTTTGCTGCAGCTGGCCAGATTTCATCTTAGAGCGACATTCTGCACACTCTACAGGGTTGAAAACATGTTAATTAACAATCATGAATTGATTATATTAATATACCTCTTTCCCCCCCCTCCATTTTTGATGGAGTTTGGGTCGTGACACTTCTATGACCCTCTTTCACTGTGATGACCCTCTGGTGGGCTGTAGCTGCTGTATACTTGATCTGAAACTAAATATTTTCTAAATAAAATATATATCTACAAAACTTCTGCCTCACTTTTTCCTAGAGTCACCATCATTTTTGCCATCTCATGCTTGCATGATTCCTGCCACTCCTTATAGCCAGCTTCAAAGATGGCTACTCTATCTGCAGTAGCTATAAAATTTGCAATCATGCAGTATTGGCTATAATTTGACACTTACTCTCAGTGATCACTGTGATTGCCGATAGAATGCTCGAAATTAAGCTTGGTGCTATCTTTTAAATTAAGGCTTAAAGATTTCTATTGTGAGAGACAGCCTAGATGTTTGTGTAACATGGCTGAACTAAATCATGCAGTGGTAAAACAAACTGATCCTGTTAACAATGTTGTGTCCAAAAGGGCAGGAACCCTATACATAAATAAATCATATGCATCAACAATACAGTTACAACAATAAGCTAATAATTGCTATGGTACATGTGTCATGCCTGCCATATAAACATTGAATTATATCCACGGCCTGTAAGCAGCTATGTACATATGCATGTATATTAGATTATGATGCTACATATAAATCATAGATTACATTAAAATGATTGAGTGTCAACAGTTATACAGCCACTTTTGCTTGTTAGGTAGTCAAATAAACTTAAAAACTGCCATACACAATGTACAGTGATGTATTTATTAAAATTGTCCAGATTTTATTATAATACTCAGACGTTTTTGTTGTGTGCTGGTAGAATAATAATAAAGAAGAACAAATGGGTAATCCCTATTATGAACCATGATAAATCTGGAGTATGTAACTTCTGGAAATTTGTCAAATTTATTAAAAACAAGTAAGAATGATAGCTGTGGATTATCTGTGAAAATGAAAGGTCAGTAATGTTTTCACTGGAAAGTTATTCAATATTTTCCATCTTCTGGCCAGAAATCTGTAGCTTTTTTTTTCTGTGATATTTCTTGTTTTAATGTATAGAAAATGATTATAGAATACAGAATGGAAACATCAGAAGTTTATACTATGCATCCAAGTACTTCAAACTGCAAGGTGAAAAGATTTTTCAATCAAAGTAAATCTAGTTGACTACGATAGCATATCCATTGAAAGAAAGTTATCCACAAAAAGAGGGCAAAGAGAGTTTCCAAAAAATAATACTAAGAAATCTAATAGTGAAAATAAGATTACTTCTTCAAAATCAAAATTGTTAGTGTCTTGGATTTTGAATATGGTGATATGAATGTAATAAAGTTCATTTTATAGTTTATATATTCTTACCTTTACTAAAACATTTTATGAAGGACATCTTGGTCAGTTTGTTTGTTACTGTTCTTGTTCAAATATTGTTGACACTGAAATACCTTAAGTTTCCAGCACAAGTTTAAATGATACTACAATGAACAGTGAAAAATAATACTAGTGGATCTGATGATGTGAAAAATTATTGCCATTGGTTAAATTTCAAATTCAAGTTAAAAAAAGGCATTTTATTTTTTAACATAGTAGTTGTATACATTATAAATTTATGGATAAGTATGGTTAATTTTACTTTAGGAATTGTATTGTAGGTAAGTTGAAGTTATGCTGTTTGTTTGGTGTTCAGTACCATATTCTTACTTACATAGGTGTTATTTATTAAATAAGGAGTTATATTTAAGCTAGTCTCTTTTGACAGATTGCTCATGTACATGTAATCAAAGTATAACATCTCACTATTAGTTCAGTTCCACAATTAACCTCAAATTTATAAGTTTCGGTCCTATCAATTCTTAAAACAGTTAATTTATTTCAAAGTAATTGATACTAACTATTCTTACTTTGAATCAATTTTGGCCATGTGTTAAATCTGACTCAGTGTTTTCTTACTTTTATTTGCTATGATTAATGCAACTGTTCTAGCACTATATTGCTTCAATATAGCACAGTTTATGAGGTTGAAGTATCTAATTTTTACTCTATACAGAATAGTTTATGTCTAGCATTTAAGTGAGTGAGTGAGTCTTAATCAAATGTTCAAACAGTACAAATGATGATCAGTGGTTTGTAACACGTAGTTTATACAAAAAAAATAAAGATATTAATATGACAAAAACACAATATTTTAAAAGGTAACTGCTACTGCACAATTATGTTGCCAGTTGTGGTTCATGGAAATACAATAAACTCAATAAAGACTGTTTGTAGCTTAGCTGCTGTAATATTTAAATTGTATTACTTGAGTGTCTAATTTTTATTGACAATTTCATTAAAAATAAAGTAGTTAAAGTAATTTGTGGTGAATTATGTTAAAAAAATAAACTTAAAACAGTGTTGTCAAATAACATTAGAGTGAACATGTAGGAAATAAAAATATCAGTTCATATGTGTGCTTGGTTTCATGTTATTTTGTTT